GTCCTTAGTTGACACATAGCCCAGGAGAAATTTCATAAGTCAGCCTGTTTTCAAGGCCAACCGTGGAAATCAGATTCCGATAAGCCACAATTGCTGATTTTTTCAGGCAGATTTGTTTTTCTTCTCGTCAGCCTTGAGTCCTGCTGGTACTTTCAAGATCCAAGATGGCCAGATTAGTGGGCATTCCACTGGTCCATGCCTATGAGGCTCCTTCAAGGTCATCTCCAACATGCTGGCGAGTCCCAGAAGCCGCAGGTGGCCTGCAATTCTCTCAAATCACTTCCATCCAACGGTTGATCTCATAAGTCAGCTGATTTTGAGTACTCAACGCACAAACCAAACCTTCACACATGCATGGCAGTTTTGCCATTGCCAAAACTGCTGTCGCCGTCTTCTTTAATTGCTGATAACACAGGAATACACTGATGCTAGACAGCAGAAACCCTGCTATCATAAATCTAATTATATAAACATCTTTGGCATCCTCCGGAGAAAGACATCAGCTCCCAAACCCCCCATGGATCCATGACGTATCCTGCCGAGTTAGTCTCAGTGGGGCATGAAGGTTCTCCAAGACCCTATCGCTTTGTTGAAAAGATTTTGTCGGTTGCAATGAAAGTCCGACTGACCAGATTCATGACAGTAGTTTTAGTTTTGGAAGATGTTCAAATAGGAGCTCCAATAGACAGAGAGCAAAAAAGCAGGAGGAGAACAGGAGAGGGAGAGGAGGTGTTTGCCTTGCACGAAAGCGGGTGCAGAAAACAACAACAACAAAAACACATATAATTATAATAATTACAATAAGTATAATGATTATAATAAAACTTGGACCTAAGGCAGGTCTTCTCCACTGACATATGGTATATGTAACTCAAATTAACATATATATTTATTATGTGCTCCTGATGCTGCTCATCTTTCAGGACATAAAAGTAAATGGTGGGGTCAAACTAACCTTCCTGAGCAGTTTCCATATAAATAATAAAAATACAAAATAGTTCCAGGAAGAGGACATCAAGGAAAAACTGAAAAGAAAGGAATAGAACGATTGCAGAAGCCTAGCAACCAACAAGCTGGACTCATTTATATGCGGGGAGTAAACGACAGATTCGTGGCAGGTGTGATGATTGATGAAGGAGCAGGTGGGACACGGGAGCAGGAAAGAAAATCAGTAGAAAGAAGAGCAAATAAACTGAAAACAAAAGCAAAACGACAGAAAAAAGACCCATAAACATAAAAAAAAAATCAAGACTTTATGGCACAGATGCATCCTCTACAATAAAGGGGTGTTTTTAGCTGTGAATCCTGTTAACTTTATACAGAATGGCTCTGATTTAAAAGTGCAAACACATGTTCATCATATTTTGTTGTTTATGTTCAACATATACAACATTACATCCCCCACAATCATCTGAGCTAACTGTTGTACAGTATTCTTTTACTGGTGTAAAAAAAAAAAAAAAAACCTTTTGCCTACAGCAGTATGTTGGTTTGGGTAAAGTATGTATGTTATGGAATAAATGCTAATAATTTTCTGTGTCGGAGCAGATAACAGTTTACTGTATTTGCTAACATGACCAAATGCTCATGGGAAATTTAATAATGGATATTTACAAGAATTCACTGTCACTTGGTTTCTAGAAACCTGATGATAAAACGAGGAGGAGAGTGATTAAGGCTGCATTCACAGTCCAGTTTAAATGCTAAAGTTACTTTTTTTATACATAACTACTAAATTTACTCTGAGGTCAAATTTAGCCAGCTTTTAGCCAAGAAATGTAAGGACAGTAGATTGAATAGTACATATATCCACACTGTTTATGTAGGTTAAACATTGATTTATTTTATATCATTCAATGTTTTGTTTATTCTTTTATGAAGTTTGCTGCTGACCTCTTGACCAGGTCACCCTCAGAAACAAGATCTTGATAATGGGTTTGTATCTGGTTTAATAAAGATGATCATGGTTACCAGGAGGAGGAACATACCGCGATGTTCATTGATCCAGGATCCAACTCAACAAGAAAAATGTCGAGTGCAGAATTTAGATACGTTTTTTAATACAAATATTTATTTTTGTTCCAAACAATAAAACTATACTTGATAAAGACTGCATAAGTATTACTGCTGGGATGTTTTTAAAAGTTGGGTTATCATGAGTTTGTATTCTGACTTTCATTGCATCACAAACTTTTTAATTTAGATGCATTTTTAAGTAACTTTATGTTTCCATTAGTTAATTCACACATTCTGGTTTGTTTACATTGAATGGAACTTAAATTAAACGGACTCATTTAGTTTGAAGTCAAATCATAAGATTTTTTATTTTTTTTTTCCTGAACTACTGTATATCAGACAGTGCAGTTTGACTCCAGTAGTTTTTCAGACATATTAGTATGAAATTCGGAAATGCAGGTACGCACTCAATGTAAACAAAGCACATTTATCTGCATATGTTATGCTCTGGATATGAGCATAACTACAAATCATTACCTAATGTTGGAACTTCTTGATTCCAAACAAAATGCTAACTTAAGGACACGTTACTTATTGATATGAGGAAAAACGTAATTTTCTTTCTTACTTTATATTTTGACAGTTGTTCAAACATAACCACACTGCTAGTTTCAATAATTACTCTAAATTATGAGGATGTAGACACCTAACGTTTAAGTGTGCCCTTCAACCCAACAGGTTTTGTGCCTGTTATGTGCACGTTTGAGACATTACATTTATTCACGCAGCAGAGAAAAGCATCTAAAAATTTCTACTGCCAGTTTTCTTTTATAATTTCACTTCAGTGTCCTTTAAATCCCAGAGCCTGGAGTGCTTTCTTGACATGTTTTACAGCATGTTTCAAAGAAAATGCATTTCAGTTCGTACATTTTGTTTCTGTACACCTGACAATCAAAATGATTCATGTTCACCTGACAATCAAAATGATTCATACGAGAAAGGATTTAAAAGCCCTGCAGAAAGTAAGAACAAAAAATAAATAACTAAAGGCATTTTATAGACATTTTGCGAAGAATATTGTCAATACATCTATTTTATATGGTAAATTATCAAAATGTTTGACCAATACATTGCAACCGAGATGATTATAAGATGATCCATTAGTGATGTGGATTTCTCAAATCAGTTGAGTCTCCCAAATCATCGCCTTAAAGAGCCGCAACTCCTGCATTCTTTTCAACACCATTACCTCCATTTAAACCATGCCTCAGTCTGACAACATGGAGGTCTCTGCAGTTACTTGTGATGACTTTGACAGTTTCTTTGTTAAAAAGGTTGAGTCGATCAGGTCACTGATTCCTCACGCCACAGCTGACCCCCTCTGTCTTTGTCCCCTCCACATCGGTCTTTGACCAGTTTGAACCCATTTCCCTCTCATTTCTAAATGATGTCATTGGTCATATGAAACCCTCAGGTTCCCCTGC